ATTAGAAGCTTTAAAAACGGCACCATCACTAAACCTGCCTGCTTCTCCTACATCAATGGTCGTAAAAATTCCATCGGCGTCCGCATATGCCATGAGCACCACGGAAAAAAAACTTTTATAATTGTAATGAAGTGAACCAGTTTTGTCAAATTTTTTTATACGACAATGCTTGCCATCTACGGAACCAATACAATTGGGGAGGTCCCATAGTTCGTAGTATCGTTTTGCTATCGATTTCCATGTTTCTTCTTTTGGAACAGGCATGTATATAGGTTGAAGAATTCGCCAGATAGCTTCACTGCACTCTTTCACTATTATTCCTATCGTATTGTCCCCTCTCATGAATATATGTGACAGAGCAACAAAACTACATCCTGTAGCCAAATATCTGTAAAAAAATTTTCAGCATAAAAATTAATATAAATTTAGAATAAGATAATATTGCAATTAATGTAATATGTTATATTATATTTTAACAGAAATACAATGCAAGGAGAAATGGAAAAATCTACGAACAGCTTTTGCACGAAGCATGAAAAAACCCCCGTCAGGAAGTGCTGCCAATAATAAAAGATCTAAAGACTATTATTTGAAAGATGTCATGCAGTTTATTCTTCCGTTCATGAAGGTTAAGCCTCAAAGTAGCAATTTAAAAAATACCGAAGATAATGATGAGCAAAATAGTGACACTGATATTGTAGATACAGACATTAATCAAGACAATGGCGATGTATCTTTACACGATGAAACACCATCTACATCAAAAGAAAGTTATAAAAAAAGGAATCTAGATGTGTCACAAGATAAATTTAGTGCTCCGAATACTACAAAGAAACGCGCATTATACAATGTGAAAACATCTACGGATGAGGTTGATAAGTGCGTCATTGATTATATTACTTCAAAAAAAGATTCTCAGACAAACAAAAATAATAGCGATCTTGATTTCTTCAAAAGCTTGTTACCTGATATATCTAAGATGACCGATTATCAAAAAAGGCAGTTTAAGAGAAGAACACTTGAAACTATAGATTCAATTTTGGACGATTCGCCTACACAGAATAATACTATTTCATATGTTCAACGACCTTTATCCAGCTACTCCGGAAGTTCATATTCAGTATTGAGTCCTGAGCCACCTGTGGGGACGGTCGGATTTCAACAGTTGGGAAATTTGCATTCAGAAGACTACGAACGAATTATTAATAATCCGACAACAGTTCAAAATTACCTCCATACTTTTACTGAATAGTATGTTATACCATTTAAATCAAAATAAATATTAAAATTTAACATTACCTGAGTGTTATTAACAATTTTTCTCCTGCACTTATAGCTTCTCTGTAATTTGTATCACGTTTTGTAATACTATGTTCAATTAAATTTAAAAGTTGTTGAAATGTATCTGGGCTCATTCTATAACAGCTTTTTAACTGCAATGGATGAAGTTTAAGTTCATCTGCATAGACATTTGCACCATATTTTACAAGCTGTTTAAATGCTGGATTAATCCAATATTTACGTTTTTTATTTTTTATTTTTCTTCTTCTTAAATTCCACCAGAATAATAAAACGTCGTCTTCATCAGACGATGACATGGTTGCTACTGCGTTGCTTCTATTTGAGAGCTAGGGGCAATACATATTGTCTGTTGACTATTGTTAATTGATAGTTGCTCGTTGCCTATTGCTCCGGTGTGAGAGCCGCCTGAATGATTTTTTTGAGCTTTTCGAGTACGTAATTGAATCGTTATTTATAATTTCGAAGTGGAATGACACTGAAACATCATCACTGAAGGGAGATTTTAAAATTTGCTTACTTATTGTGAATAAAGTATTTAGTTATGGACTACCTCTTTCAAAACAACTTCAAAGAATAAATATTGATCTAGGCGAAGCTATGGATTTAGCGGAAGATACAATAAAAGAACTTAAATGTATGAGATCGAATGCTGAGTCTGAATTTCATAAAAATTTTGAAAATGCATTGACCATAGCAAATAAACTATACTCTATCCCAAAAGAGAATAATCACTTTTCGCGCATGTAGACTGAGCGCTATGGCAGCGCCGAGGCCAACTTTCTCCCACCTAAATCAGCCGACGGATCACGAAGACCATGGACGACCGTTTACGATTAATATTTATAATTATTATTATGCGCGACTGCAGTAATGCATTAACCGCGGTGAGGAGTGACCGGTTTTTTTTCGTAAAATGTGACTATTTTTTAAATAAAATTAATCATACGAACAATTATTCAATTATAATATTATATACGAAAAAATGATAGTTACAAATACAAAATACAAATATAACAAACATTATTTATGAACAAAAATATAATATTATATACGAAAAAATGATAATATCATATACGAAAAAATTATAATTACAAATACAAAATACAAATATAACATTATTTACAAGTTTACAGTTTACATTTATTCATCAGTTTTTGGTAGAGGTACAACGTCGTTAAAATCGTCCGAGTCATCATCATCACTTTCAACATTTAAAACACATGGTTCTTTTTCAGCCATCAATTCATCCACCACAAAGTCCATCTTAAACAATTTTTCCTCCTCTTCTATTGTATGTTTAATGAAGTTTTTCCACATGTCGGCATCAACTCTTTCTACACCTTCTATTAATAATTGTTTTACGTCGTTGAGCTTAAATGTTTTGTTTTTCATCCTCACATGGTTTTTTACAATTGACCATGCGAGCTCAATAGGATTGAGCTCGCAGTGGTAAGGTGGCAATCGAAGAATTGTTTTGTTTTGTTTTTTGACTAGTTCATCAATTACATATTTATTGTACAAGGGTCTCAGCCTGTCCACAATGGTAAGTAGCTCTGGAATAACCATTGGTCTACTAATGACCTCTCCTTTGCTCTCGAGCCATTCGATAATTTTTTGTTTTTTGGTATTTGTCGTTGGGCATTTGTCTTGTTTCACTGAATGGTACGGAGCGTTTTCCATGACAATCACTGCGTTATCTTTGAGTCTAGGTAAAACACCTTCCAACCATTCACGGAAACAATCGCCATTCATTTCATCGTGATAGTCTTGAGTGTTTTTCCTAGACTCAAAGCACAGAGGACTGTCAGAAACAAATCCATCTTCCGATCCTACATGGCAAACTATCAGGCATTTCGCCTTTCCACTAGGATTTACTGCTCCCGTTGTAAGACCTTTATTTGCCGCATCTCTCGCAGATTTAATTGATTTATCGCACCCTATTTTATTCGGTACGTCACCAGCATTTACCCAAGTTTCGTCCAAATAGTATATTGGGCGACCCTCCATACGATATTGCCGAATATCCATTAAATAATTTCTTCGCCAAACAACAATTTCTCTTTTCGCTCAATCATTGCGCTATTTCGACCACGTTTAACAAATTCGAATTCCATAAAATGTAATAATCTATGGAGTGGGGAGCGTGAAAAATTGGGCAAATCAGCATCTTCATTTATGACACACAAAATCCTATCAAGTGTCGGCAACTCACGTCTAAACCAAAATTGATGTATTTTTCGCCTAATTGCTTATTTATTGAAATCGTCAATTTTATCTTTTATACTTTTAAATATTTTAGTTTTATTTGGAGATGTGATGGTTTTCGTCCGTTTGTATTCTAAAATTGTTTGATAAATTGTAGACATTCCAATTCTGAGTTCAGTTGAAATAATTTTTTTAAGATGGAGCATTTTAATTTCTGGATTTTGGGCAATTTTGGTTTTTTAACTGTTTATAATCATTTTCCTTTGGGAAGATGACACAAACTAACATAATAAAAAACATTGTAAAATCAGTTTCATAATTTCATTATTCAGCGATTAGGTTTGTTTATGATATCGTTGAAAATGAATTAAAAAGATTTATTTTTTAGAAGTCTGGAAAGTATGTATAACTAAAAGTCTTTTTTATATCTATGAACATAATATTATGTTATCAGTTTTTTTAGTCCATTGTTGTAGATAATTTTTTTTTCAAATGTAATAGATATAATATATCTAATTTACATTAAATCGTTTAAATATACAATTTGTTAATTTTATTTCAATATTCGTTAAAAAAAATTCAGGGATTAAGTTCTTAAAAAAAAGGCGAGAAAGTGGATGTACAGTACGTTACAATAATTAGGTCACTGTTTTATGGACAGTATTACATTTGAAAACGATTCTGAACTGAAACATGTGTGGATATTTTATAATATTATAATTATATTGTTATTATACTTAATATTAATACGGCAGCTGGCAAGTTGAATTAATATTATAAAATAACAACAAAATAACTAAAATCGTATTTCTAGGTTATTTAATATGTAATTTCGTCCGTATTTGATCATAAAATGACTATTTTATCAATTTTTAAATTTTAAATTTTGTCAGAAATCAAACTTAAAATGCGTATTAAAAAAAATTATTCCAATGTATTTATATTATTTTTCAACTACCATTGTTACAATATATCAGGAGAATTGTATTTGTAATTTCTTAATGTTAAATTCAATATATATTATAAATTAAACTAAATTAAGAACTACTCGCTGTGAGTACTGTATTGCAGTATGTGATATATGGTTGAAAAATTTGGTCATAAAAATTATATTTTAGAATTAAGAATATGCAAACGCTCAAATTATCAAAATGCATAATGTTAAAACTTAAAATTGATATTTTATAAAGTTATTTGGTGTATATTATTACTTATCAATCTAACCTTTTTTTTAAATATATTATTGCATATTAAATTTATTAAGTTTTCTGTTTTACTAATATGTTTATTTGTACTTTTAAATTTAATTCATATATGAAATACAAAAGAATAATTAAATTATATTTATTTAAGTATTTGTTTACATTTGCTACCTAATGTTCCACAACTATCGCTTCCCGGTTACCCTTACCACTTTCGTTTCAATCATTATACAATGTTTTTTTGGCAAACAGCAATAAGTAACTAATAACTTTTAATGTAATGTCATTAACATGGACAAGGTGCCTCCTAATATGTGTAAGTAGTTACATTTATAAAATCCAATTGATTACCTATTAGAAGTATGTTGTGCGTTCTAAATCAGAATAGAGGAATAAGTCCGGAATCGTGAAAGTAATTAGTATTTAGTAGGTAATTAGTAGGTACCGGATGCATATTGACATTCTGGGGTAGGTCTCGGCACCTATAGACTAATTTACGCTTTTAATTGGTTCGTTTAAATTTCAGCGCAAATTTCTTTCGCGTTTGTCAATAATATCCATAGACCTATTATCTTCACAGATATATAGAAATGTATATAATATTATATTAAATATAATTTATAAATATATATATTATTTAGAATTTTTATATATCTGTGATTATCTTATAGGTAATTATATTATCATTGATCAATTAATATATTAATTACTCAATGATAATAATATATTAAATTATTAAATAATTATGCTGTTGTGTTTATGTTAGGTATATTATAATAATATAATTTAATAATAAATAAATGCTTAAGTCTGTTAGATATTATAACACTTTGGTAAGTGATGTAGGGGAGATTTTCTATTTTCTATTTCTAGCTAGTGAACTAAGAAGAATTGTATATTATTTTTATTGTTAAATTGTTACATTATATTTACTTTACTTTATTAAATAATTTAATTTAAATAGAAAAATCTAGGCATGTAACTATCATTGAACTTACCAAATTTGACAAAAATGTGCAGATCAACTGATACATTCAGTGTTTCAATATTTCAGATTAGACTTTTTTTATCTTACCATCAATAAAAGTTGTTTCCTAGATTTTCTCTAAACTTTACAATATGCCCATTATTTGTATAATCATTTAATCATTTTTTCAATTCGAGATACTCATTTTCACAGTTAATGTTTGTGATTTTGATATTTTATTTTAATGTTTTACAAAATTGTTTCTCTCAGTGTCTTGGATTGTATAAACTTTTAGTATGACACCCATTATTTTCAAATTGATAACCATACTTAGAAAATTTATATGAGTCAATATTAAATATGAACCAATTAAATTTTTATTTAAAACCAGAAGAGGGGGTAGGACTGGGGACTAAACAATTATTCATTAATTCCTCTACAATATAAACCTAAATATTTAATATAGAAGTAAATAATAAACCATTAGTTTAATGTTGTTTAATATTAAGACATCAACATTTTCAGAACATATGTTGCATACAAATTAACCAATATGAAATGTAGGTTGTCATTTAAAATAAAAAAATTAATCAATCTAATTTTATTTTATTATTATACCCTAATTATGTGGCTTAATATGATTAACGTTAAAAAGATTACCTCGAGAGTAAGATTATTTATTTAAATCTATCTAAAATAATCCTAAATGTTAATTTAATTTAATTTAAAAATATGGTTATGTATTTGTAATACACCATGTTCAGTAGATGATCCCAAATTATTTAGCTTCCAAATATCATACCAATGACGAATAGTCCTATACTTAGGGTTAATTGAAGCATTTGCCAACTGTTCAGAATTCATACCAAACTCTAATTCTATTTTTGTTTCATGTATACTCAAAGACTCTGATATAGGTACCTATCAATTAATATAAAACCACATACATATCAAATATACAGGTAATCAGGTAAATTGAATCTTAATTCATAAGTCATAATACACTAAAAGTAGGTACCTACTAATAACAATATATTGTTGCTAATAACAATGTATTATTATACACAATAATTATGTATAATTTTTGTGATTGAAGTTTTATAATAGTTAATAACCAAAACAAGTAGGTACTAAAAAAATAGGTAACTACAAAATTTATATATATATAAACATAATTAAATTTAAAAAATGTTATCTTAATTAATATCTTTGGTTTGAAATTATATATGTATAGGTAATTATAGTATCAAACACTTAGTAGGTATTATCTTTATTAAATAAACCATAAATGCAAGTAGGTAATTAATTAAATTCTAACTATTTTATTTTTAACAGAATGATGTGAACTGCATAGGCGCAAATAGGGGGGGGGGGCTTGGGTAGGCTTAGCCCACCCAGTTTTGTCTGTAGCTCACCCAGTTTTGGAAAGTTATGTGCACAATACCGAATCCCGTAATTTATGTGTTTATTGTCTTTAGTATTTAATTATAGTTTTAAATATCAATAATATGAATATTATCATTATATTACTATCAAATATTTTATTATCTATGGTTAACTATCAATAACCATGTTCATTTTGTCGTATTATTAGTATTATCGTTAATCGCGGACGAAGAATCTATAGTAGTGTAGTAGACATACCATAAACATGCGTATTTACGTTCTTAAAATAAAAGATGGGAAAACCGTGGTCCTTGATATCCATAATTCAGTAGGCTGCGTTGCTCAATGCTTGTTATCGTTGGAAGTTGAATATACATAGTTAATTTTAATATATAAATGTTAACGTGTTTTATATAATTATATCTCGTTTATAACGTGCGTTATATTATAATATTATATCTCAGTAAAGTGTAAGCTATTCAATAGGATAATTATTAATAAAATGTTTAGCATTTTTAATATTAAAAAACCAAGCTCGGGTGTTCCTAATGTTTCTACTGCAGTTGATGATTTGTCCCAATCCAAGGGATTGGGAGAACATATATCAATGATCCTGGACTTGATGTTTCTAGTGATGTAAATGATTTAGATCTTGGTGATTTAGACTCAGGTCCTGGAAGACCTATTCTAAAAGTATGTATATTATTAACATTTTACCCAGTACTGGCATTATATTGTGAATTATATTTTAATACCATATGCAAGTTATTTTCTTCGCTTAATTTAGATGATTAGTTTTTCTATTATTGTCGCTTTTTATATTGCTTAATATTTAGAATTTCCCTAAAAAGAAAATTGGTTCACAAAATCGCTCATTCTCAGCTGGCTTGTATAAGGATTTTGAATGGCTAGAATACAGTGTTAATAAGGATTCCGCTTTTTGCTATGTTTGCCGCATGTTTTCCAGTGAATCTGGAAATGCTGAAGATACATTTACAAAAATTGGGTTCAATAATTGGAAAAATGCAAGTTACATTATTAAGTTTATTGTTTCAATAATTATAATTATTATAATTATTATAGTAAATAGTTTATGGTTTTTTAATTTATGACCTATTAATAGTAACATTACTTAACACCATACTGAAATTGCTTTTGGAATAAGAATTGATACCTACTCAGTATTAAAATATCAATTTTTGCTAAATTTGATTTACAGCTCTCTTATAGATTGAAATCACATGCTTCTGCTACTAATCATTTAGTTTGTCTGTCAAGATTAAACGAATATAAATGTAGTAAAAAAAATGGTTCAGTGTTATCACAATTAAGTTCTCAACATCAGCAACAAATAACAAAAAATCGTAATTATTTAACACATTTAATTGATATAGCCTTGTACTTGGCCTAACAAGGAATTTCTTTTAGAGGGCATGATGAAAAATATGATTCAAACAATCAAGGTTAGCATTTATAAACAATTATTATTATTTATTTCAAATTATTATTTGTGATTTATCAATTCTAGGCAACTTTAAAGAAATGTGTAAACTTTTCTCAAAATATGATAATGAATTTGAAGCAATGTACTTGAAAAAAATTAACCTTACTGGCTGGGCAATTCAAGAAGATTTAATCAAATTGTGTGCTGATCAGGTCAAAGGAATAATATTAAATTAACTAGCTGATGTTGGTTTTTTCTCTATAATGTGCGATGAAGCAAGGTATACATATTTGTTATAATTTATTAATATGATTATTTATAAATTAAAATTTAAATGATGATGTAATAGTTGTTCAATAATATAGTAATCTAAGTTTTAACTCATTAATTATGTTTAATTTGATTATTTAGGTGTTTTAGAGAAGAACAACTATCAATCTGTGTGAGGTATGTAGTTGGCTTAGAAGTACATGAACGATTTATGGGGTTTGTAAATGTTTCTGGTGGCCAGGATGCTAGTAGTATAGTAACTGCTATAAACAATTTTTTTACACTCCAACAAATTGACACCAAATCGTTGAGTATCATTGCACAATCGTATGATGGAGCGAGTGTCATGTCAGGAAAACTCAATGGTGTTCAAGCGAAAATAAAAGAAATACATCCGTGTGCAATTTACACGCATTGTATGGCACATCGACTCAACTTAGTTGTGGTAGATTTTTGTAAAAATATTAAGGTATGCATATCTAAAATAATGTACAAATTAAAAATGTATATTATTTGTTATTAATCTTTATTTAATTATGTTTAGAGTGCACGCAATGTATTCAATGTCTTAGAGGCTGTATATGTTCACTTTTCCCATCCATCTAACAACTTAAAACTATCAGAAATCCAGGCAAACCTCGGTTTGAAAAAAGGAAATATTTTAAGAGTATGTGATATTGTGGGTTTGCCGCTATAAGAATTGTGAGGCCATGTTGAAAAACTATACTGCTATTGTGACATTTTTAAATTCTGAAATAGATGATCAAGCAGATAAAGATGTTACTCGAGCAATAGGTAAAAAATAAAAAATAAATAGGTATCCAAAATATTTTTGTTTATTTTTATCATGTTGTTGCAGGAATTTTAAGCTCAATTCAAAAATGTGATTTTATAATAGTAATTACTATTCTTAAAGAAGTGTTGTGCATCATAAATCATCAACTCTTGGTTTCTCTAAAAATGTTATTTTTGGTGTGATTAAAACATTTGAAAGTCTAAGGTCTGAAGATGAATTTAAAAAAATATGGGAAAAAATAAAAATATTGGCTGAAGAAAATGGCGTATGTATACAAACTCCATTAACTGGTAAATAAGTTTTGTGTAATTTGTTAACATATTAATGTTATAAAAATTAGTTTCAAGTTTTTAACCTAAATGGTACATGATGATTACAGGATCAAAGCGTCGCAGAAGAGAGTCAAATAACCTTCATGACTATGTGTTAACCACTACTACGAGCGCAGAAAATGCTTCATATTCATCATTAGAAAATGAAATAGAAAATTATTGGAAAACTTCAGCATATTTTATTATTATGGATAGTGTTGTTTCCAACCTTAAGTATAGATTTTCTGATGAAAGTTTGGCTATGGCTAATTCGGTTGACTCATTCTGTAAATTAGATACAAACGATTCAATGAAATTTATTGATCATTATAAGGTAAGTTGGTAATATGTTTATTTTGTATAAATAAATTATATAACAAAATAATGAAAAATAATTAATTAATTATAATAATTATAGGATTTACTACACATCCCAAAGAGTAGCTTACAAGCGGAAATGAAAGTGGCACTTAATCTTTTGAAGAGTAAAAAAAAAGATTTTAATTTGAATGATGTCAAAGAAGTGATCAAAAAACAAACATATCCAAACCTTTATAAATTATTACAAATAGCTTTATCTATTCCTATAAGTTCAGCCACTTGTGAAAGGTCATTTTCTTCAATGAAACGAATAAAAAATTGGCTAAGATCCTCGATGGCACAAGATCGCTTTACATTTTTATCTATTTTGAATATAGAAAGAGATATAACTAACAAAGTAAATGTGGATGATATTGTTAACAAATTTGCCGAAAAGGACAGAAAAATAATGTTAATTTAACTTGTAAATTGTAAATTGTAATAAACATTTAATAGCTAGAACAGTTTATTTTATCAATTATATATTTATATCCTTTTTATTCAAATTAATTTAGGTAGCTAGTCTGTTAGTGAAAAAATTCTTCTTTGAAAGAAATTAGAACTTATGAGCATATAAATATAAATATGTTACTATGTTAGTGTTGATAATCAATAAGGTTGGTGTGGGGGCAAAGCCCCCATGGGTCACTGGTATCATTAAAATGTAGCCCACCCAGAAATAGAGGTCTAGTTGCGCCTATGCTAAAGTTATTTAAAATATGATTGAATTTTAAAATAAATATATTGTTGTTAGGGTTTTACTAATAAGTAATAATTAATTCTTACCTAAACCACGGATATAGATACTATGGTTGCACGTCGGCCTATATTGGATCACAGCGTTGAGCGGCGCCGAATGTTCTTATCAAATCTGACGAAAAGTCGCGTTTTATTAGGCCCTCTACAGTAAGAACTCTTATACCATGTTACCATAACTTTACAAACATTTTATAATTTATATAGTCGTGGGTATATGATATACCAGGTCATAGAGGGCGCTAGTATCAAGCGCCTTTTTTAAATTCTTGATAAGAACATTCAGAGCCGTCATATCCGTGCTCGTTGTGCAACCATAGTATCTATTAGAGGTGGGTCGTTACTGCTGTATTCGGTACAAAGTAACGATTACATTGGTGGAACGAGGAGGAACGAGTACAGCTGATCGTTCCTCAAACGTTACGTCGGTACAAAGTTTCTAACTACAAAATGGTCCCCATTAGGCGATACCGATACATGAAATACAAATATTTTGTTCGTTCCACTGCGTTTCTAATTCTGCGCGTAAACTCTACGCACACGCTCTTCCACACGACTTCGGTACGTAGTACGTTACCCCACTACCATGTTACGACTTACGGTCGATAGATCGTCGGAGGCCGTTATCGCTGTTTTTGTCGATTTTACAATTGGTTTTCTTAAAATAAAACTTAGAAGTGTAAACACTCGGATAATATCTGATTTAATCTAACTGATTGTTCCAATCGTTACATCAGTACATTTTTAAATTTGTATTATTAATTATTGTAAAACTATTTTATTTAAAAATAAAATACTGAAGGTAGTAAGTTGTATACTATACCACGGATTACAATAACACATTTTAAAAACTGTAAAAGTGTAAAGTAATTTATTATTTTAATATGAATACTAATAACAAGCATTGATTTTAAAGTTTAAAAATAATAATAATAGTAATGATGAACAATTTTACTTATTTTAATAATTACTATTTAAAAACATTAATATTTCAACGTTTTTTAACGATAACCTGCTACGTCTTTCTGAAATAGTATATCCGGCTTTTGAAAAGATTCGTTCACACGGAACAGAACTCGACGGCACACACAACCTTAATAACATCATCTCAAACAAATTTGGATAGATATTTCTTCTATTATTCCACCACTTAAGTGGATCTGATTTTCTGTCGAGTAACGGCTCACTTATATATCTGTCGATCTCCACGATAGCTTCAGATGTTGGTGTACTTAATGTTGGTGTTGACACCTACATACAATTACAATATGATTTAAGTTACAAACACTTATAGATAATATATTAAATATATAAATTTAGTACCGTCAATCGAGGTGACTTGAAACAATTTTGACATACTTCTTGTTAATCTGAGCTTAAAAAAAATCGCACTGGACTACAAAAAATACATAAATGTGTGCATACGTCTCATGAATAGGATAAGACCTTTCATTTAGTTTTTTGACCAAAACTGAACTTAAAAAAAATTAAAAAGTACGTGTTCCAAGTCACCTCAATTTTTGGGTGACTTGGAACAGCTGTGAAAATTTTATTTGAAATTCAATTCAAAAATGTTAGAGGTGACTTGTAACAAAATTTTTATTTTAAAAATTAACACAAGAACATGTTAAATAAATATTAAAAATAAACAGGTTAACTTTACCTTTTTTTAACAGTAAACTCAATATTTAAATAATAAAATATCAATAACATGATAAAAACAAAATAAAAATTCTTTCTAAATAGAAAAACATAGCTTAATAGTTACTTCAAAATAAACACAAATAGGTACATGTTGAATAAGTATAAAAAAGAAACAGGTTGACTTTACCTTTTTTAAACAGTAAACTTAATATTTATAACAAAAAATATCAATAACATGATAAAAACAAAATAAAAACTTTTAAAATAGGAAAACATAACTTAATAGTTACTTAAAAATTAACACAAATACATGGTTAAATAAATATAAAAAAGAAATAGGTTGACTTTACCTTTTTCAAACAGTAAACTTAATAGGTATTTAAATAAAAAAATATCAACAACATGATAAAAACAAAATAAAAACTTTTTAAATAGAAAAACATAACTTAATAGCTACCTGCTTAATAATAATATTTAATACTTAGGGTAAGTACTATTGGAATAGGAAATTGCCTCTTCTTTGGTTTTTTACAACCATTTTTTTGGTAATTTGTTCTCTTGAGACAGTCGCTTCATCAATTATGAATGGGAAACAATAAAAGCCCGTCATCTGGTTGTTTTTTCTTAAAAATTTACATGTATATTCATTTTCTTCAATTTCAGTCACTTGGCCTATAAACATTTCAATGTTTTTTTTAATTGTTTCAAATTTGACCATAACAAAATCATTAACAATTATTTCATCAGATTTTTTTTTTTTTTCTTCAGTCTTATAGTTAGTAGGTGTAGAGTATTTGTCTGTCTTATTTATATTATTATATTCAGTCTCATCTATAATATCACCATCATTATCATTAATTATATTTTGTACAATATTATTATTAAATTCAGTCTCATCAGTTACTATCATGTAATCATCCTCGTTTAATATATTTTGATCACTATAATCAATTTCAGTTTCATTAACTACTAACATTCTTTCACCGTCAATTAATACATTTTTTTCATTTTTTTTAGCAGTATTTATTTTTTTATCTTTCTTTTTTTCTTTTGTATTTGTATTTATGGCATCTTCTATAATGTCTTCATTATTAAATAATATGCTTTCTTCTGTCACACTGCATCTTGCTTTAATATTATATTTTTTTCTCTTACTGACTTTTTCACTTACTTTTCCAAACCTAGTTTCTTTGAAAATATTATGTAAAGCTTCAGGAATTATTATGGATGCAGAACTGTTTATAGAATCCAAATCTTCAACAGGCAATCTTTTTAATACTTTTTCTCTGTCAATGGGGTATATTCCTGTTGCTTCAAACCCTGCTATTATATTGCTAATTTGTGAAACTGAAAGCTTTTCCAACGTTTTTTTAAGTCATCTAGGAAAAATCTCTTTTGGAATTGTACCTCTCCTGGTTCTTTTATAAGCTTTTAAAACTTTTCGCCATGCAATTTTAATTGGCCTAAAGCAAGACACGTCTAAAGGTTGTGTCAAATGTGTGCTATTGGGCGGCAAAAATATAAATTTTATATCATTTTCTTTACACAACTGGATAATTTTCATTGACATATGACTTGCTAGATTATCTCCAATAACTACTTTGTTACCTTCCAACCGTCGAAAATGGGGTATAACAATAGTGATGAACCAATCTTCAAAAATACTTTGGTCGAACCACCCAGATGGCGTTCGATTATACCTGCATTTTTCTGGACCTCCAGTAGTCCATGAATCCCATAACTGTGTGGATTTATATATGTCGTAGGCATATAGTCAAATCAGGCATTTTATCAAATTCCTAGGCATATAGTCAAAAAATTTAATGTTTATGCAATTTCACTATCCGCCTAGACATTTAGTTAAATGCCTAGTCATTTAATTAAATGACTAGGCATTTGACTAAATGCCTATTTCATGCCAGGCAAATAATAAAAAAACATTAGCTGTGTATTATTTATTAATATGAAAAACACGTAGATACTCGTATATGAAATAATATGTTTAATTTTGTGTTAATTATTATTTAGTATTGTTTTAAAAATGAAATCATAAATATATTCAGGTAATAACTAATTAGATGTGATAGACATAAATGATAGTACGAGTATTTTGTATAGCATATATAGTCAATATAGTCTATAGTACGAGTAGTGAGTACTATATATTCTTATTAAATAAAAATAAAAGTTCCATTGGTTTTTACCTTGGAAAATTAACGTGGGTACTAGGTTGTATGAGAACCTTATCTATATTGAGTACCGTGGGACAAATTATAATCTTATCGATTATAACGACAAAAATATGACGTTACCAAAAAAGATACAGAACATGCGATTGAATTGTACAATAATTTAGTTTAGTACGTCTATTACGTTTACGTAAATCGTATGTAGTGTGATCGTGATTGCATGTAATATTGTAACATAGGTATACCAATTGACATTTTTTGTATATTTAAAATTTTGATTGTTTTTATTTGTATTTTAAAATATAATATGTCACACAGTGTATTGTTTTATGAAAAATTAAAATCAATTTACGACAACCAAGATAAAAAAAAGCCATGGAGTCAGGAAGACTACGACAAAGCTCTAAACGAAATCAATGATGCGAAATTGAATCCAGGTAAAACTAAAACTCAAAACCAATATTATTTATGTCGTAAATATGATCTGATTGAAGTAGGAAATGTTAAACATATTATTTTAAAACCAAAAACTAAAACCGAAAATATTATTTATGTTGTACCATATGAAAACTATTTTGAAAAAATCGAAGAAAGCCATAAAGCGACTGGTCATGGTGGAAGGGATAAAGTTGAGCAGAATTTAAAAAATAAATACAACATTCCTCGAATAGCAATCCAAATATTTATTAATTTGTGTACAACTTGTAACAAAAAAAAATCAAAACCTTGTAAAGGCGTCGTTATAAAACCAATATTATCGGCAGATTTTAATTCAAGAGGGCAAATTGACCTTATTGATTTCCAATCAACACCCGATGGAAATTTTAAATGGGTCATGAACTATCAGGATCACGCAACCAAATATTTATATCTTCGACCACTTACTTCAAAACGAGCCACCGAAGTTGCACACGAACTTTTAAAAATTTTTTTGGAACAAGGAGCACCTCAAATACTTCAGTCTGATAATGGGCGAGAATTTACAGCGAAAATAATTGAAGAATTGGCAGAATTGTGGCCTGAATGTAAAATAGTACATGGGCGGCCACGGCACCCTCAGAGTCAGGGATCTGTAGAAAGATCAAATCAAGATGTTGAAAACATGTTACGAGCTTGGGTCGTAGACAATAAAAGTACCAAGTGGTCAATCGGAGTTTATTTTGTACAATGGCAAAAAAACATTTCACATCATCGAATTTTAGGTCGTTCGCCATATCGAGCCTTGTTTGGCACTGAACCGAAGGTAGGTCTTAGTTCTACAAACTTACCTGCCAAAATTATTCAAAAATTATCAAGTGAAGAAGATTTTGAAAATATTTTACAAGACAATTCAGAACATAATTTTGACAATATACCTTCAAAGAAAAAAATATATAGTGACATAAATAATATCTGCAGTGTTTGTGAAAAATCAGGTAGTGAACTAAAATGTACTATATGTAAAAGAAATATTCATTCTGATAATTGCAGCTATTCTATAAATAATAGTAACGATATTGAAAATATTTGTCTGCTATGTAATAATGAAAAACAGATAAAAGTTAACCGCATTGAATCTTACAAACGGCAAACAATAGCAGCTAAAAAAATGACAGAAAATAGTGAAAAACTATTTAAAGAACTAAAGGTTGGTGATCAAATAGTAATTAGTGTTCCAAAAGTAGACCGAGGACCTCTCGATAGTCAAAATATAAATGGGTTAGTGATAGACATTCGGAACGGCGTTTACCAAATTGGTACAGAAGTTGGTATAATAAAAAATTGGTGTTCAAGAGAAGAACTTCAACTAGTGTCGAATAATGGTTTAGAAGATAGCAAAATACAAAAAGACAAATTCGTGTCCATACGTGAAGCAGTAGCAAACTTATCAATTTTCAACGGTCAAGGTTTTGTTAAATGTCAATGTCAAGCAGGAAAGCGGCAATGTCAAACCAATAGGTGCTTATGTTTTAAGAAAAATCTTAAATGTTCCAGCAAATGCCACCAAATAACAACATGTGACAACAAGCAATAGGTAACAAAAACTTGTAATTATAATATACCTTTTTTATTTATTTTTTATTATTTCATTTTTAAAACAATACTAAATAATAATTAACACAAAATTAAACCTATTATTTCATATACGAGTATCTATGTGTTTTTCATATTAATAATTAATACACAGCTTTTTTATACATAAAATAGCAATAAATAACTGATAGAAAATATATTGAAATTTTTAAAATAATACAAAATGTTTTTTTATTATTTGTCTGGCATGAAATAGGCATTTAACTAAATGTCTAGGCGGATAGTGAAATTGCATAAACATTAAATTTTTTGACTATATGCCTAGGCATTTGATAAAATGCCTGATTTGACTATATGCCTACGACATATACAACATAGAGGGGTAACATTGAACCAGCAGCATCAACAGAAAACATCACTGAGGTTGCTGACTTTGATGAATCCATTATATTGTCAGCATGTTTAGAGGTTTTTCTTACCAGGACTTTAATTCGACCAGGATCATCAACAAAATTTGTTTCATCGTAATTAATAATATTTTGTGGAGGTATACCTGAGAGAGAAATTTCCAAGTTATCAAAATATTAATTTACAACTGTTCTTGACACTGCAGCTCGTGAACGTTTTATATTTTCACCAAGTCGTGTTTTTAGTGCTTTACTGTGTCTTTCGATAAAATTTTTATACCAAACTTCACCGGGTAAATTATTTTTAAATGGTTTCAGATTTTTGCCAGCACGATCCAAGTATGATTTTACAAGATTTTTTACATCATCTTTTTCAAATGGAAAACCCCAATCAGAGGCGTACAATATAGCATCTACAATACATTTTTCTTCTAAGGGAGTTAATACATTTTGTCCACCAAATTTTTTTAAGTTTTTTTTATTTATTTTTCTACTCAGAGTAGAAATGGATATACCATATTTATCATATGCTTCTCTGTACGAAAGTTTTTTTTGTCTTACCTCATCGAGGGCCTGTTGAAGTATTTCGTCACTGTAATTTTTATATGCCCGGCTACCCGGTATACGGACGTATTTGTTTGGCATTTTTGGTGTTACAAGTCACCCTCAATTTTCTTCTGTAAAATAAAACTTAAGTTATAAAATTGGAAAAAAATGTTTAAGGACTTTTAACTACAAAAGTCTGCTTTTGAAGTGTCCTTTAATGTATAAATAATATACAAACCTTTAAATTTGACTTCAATCGCCAACATTTGAAGCACTTTTGAGATCAATGATAAAATCGCTGTTATCATAAGAAATGTTTGGTTATTTTTTTTGGCGGTAATGATAAGACCAACCACATGGTTGATGATAACATTTATTATCACAAATATTGTACATTTAATTTGAATGGAGGAAGAATTAAATTAGATAATTTAGTTTCATAGATAACCCGATATGTTTAAAAAAAAACCGAATTGTTTCATTTCACCTCGCAGTTCCAAGTCACCTCGATTGACGGTATACGATATACCTGTGCATTAAAGTGTTTCCAAATTTCAGATGTTTCATTTTATATTGCATTATTGTTCAATGGTGTATTTATATTATGTTCGTCATTATTTTTATTTCTTTTAATTATTGCCGCAATTTTTTCTACGATTTGATCGTACGTACGCTGGTATATAATATGGTTATCAAATGCTTTTTTTTTTAAACGCGGATCTAATAAAGTTGCCTCTGTTAATACTCGTTGATTTTCAATACCTTCAAACTTTTTATCGGCTTTCGTTAGCATTTTAGAAAGCATCAAATGAATTGTATGTGGTAGTTGAATGTTCTGTATATTATTTTTAATGCGAGAGTGTAACTTTTGAGTTATAATTAAGAATTTAGAAATTGAAACGCCTTTTTCAGAACTAAGTTCAACAGTGGCTTCTTTAAAGGGCTTAAATATTTCACAATAGTGTTGCATTATTTCAAAATCTTCGTTAGTCAAATTGTCTACGTTACCTATTATAGCAATTGTGGAAATGAGTGGTTCTTTAATTAGTATACACCTTTGAAACATGTCAAAAGTTGAATTCCAGCGCATAGTAACGTCTTGAATCAGTTTCAATTCTGGATAACCCATTTGAGTTTGTGCTTTTTTTAATTTTTTATATGATTGTGTACTTCGTTTAAAAAACTCGACAACTTTCTTAACTTTTTTTTATACGTGGTTTATTTCTTCTAGTCCAGTTTGAGCAATTAAATTTATTGTGTGAGCTAAACATGGTATATGACGCCAGTTTTTATTCATTTTGATTGCTGCTGTTATATTTACCGCATTGTCAGTGACAGCAACCTTAATTTTTTCACTAATATTCCATTCATTAAAACAATCTTTTAAAAACACCGAAAAATTATTACTAGAATGTGATTTTTCAAAATTAAAACACCCAAGTAAAAAAGACTTTAAAACACATTCTGTTGTATCAATAAAATGAACGGTCACGGCAACAAAGCTATCATTATTTATTGAGGTCCAACCATCAGTAGTAAACGCTATAAATTGAGCATTATTTAAATTATTTTTCACTCTTTCTTTAGTTTCATTGAGTAGCTGTGGTAATAATGATTTTGATACTGTTTTTCTAGATGGTAATTTGTACCCAGGATTTAATAGATGAACGAATTTTTTAAATTCTTCATTTTCCACCAAACTAAATGGTTGAAACTCTTTTGCAATCATAATTGCTAACTGTTCGTCGAGTATTTTTTGTTTATTTAGAGAAATTGGTTTCATAATATATGAATCTAATCGAGTTTGTAATGGGCGTGTTTTTTTTGTATTTATGTTGATCGTTGTGGAAGGTTGACAACTTAAAGTTTGAGGTTGTGAGGTTTGTGGTCTTTTCTCGTTAGGTTCATGTTCATCTAAATTTTGCTCTACCATTTCTAAACGTGGAATTTTTCTAGCTTCGTATTGTACATAGTGTTTCCTTTTTAAATGTTTGGTTAAATTTGTAGTTGAACTCCCTTTATACGAAATTGGATTTGAACAGTATGAACACTTTGCCTTCTCATTATTTATCACTGAAAAGTGATTCCAGATGTCACTACTTTTCTTCTCCATTTAAGAATAATAATATTTTCTAGAACTTACAAAAATAAAAGTATGTACTATTGTCTATTCTATATGAAAATATGAAATAACAAAATAATATTTGTTTTTATTATTAAAAAAAATAGTTGAATGAATGTTCCAAAGATAATTAGCAAAGTACAAAGTATTTATTTATAAATTCATTAATACTTGCAGTGATTAAAACTATTTTTTTCTTTGACGATCACGTTACATTATACTGTCTCAGCGTACTATCTATTAGATAGTATCTAACATAAATCCAGCACTTACCTTTTGGAATATTGTTGATTCAAAAATCTCGAAAACACCAAATTATTTAACTTCATAAAAATTAAGTACTTAATAACTAAGGTCTAAGATAGTAAGATGGTTACCCAATGGCGACTGTTAACCAAATGAAAATAAATTCAATTACAGTAATGTAAAATAAAAACAACTCAAAACAATATTATTATTTATACGTATGTGTATTGTGATATATTATACGTAATTTATAGTTTTGATTCTTGATAAAGTAAATATTAAATATTATTAATAGAATACGAATACCATTACACATTTCACAACTATCAACTATACTGAAATCAGACACAGGAAATGTTTATTTCTTTATTTTATTGTGTTCTTTTATAAATAAATAAGTATTTACAAATCTATTTTTATTTAGCGTTTGTTTTTAACAATAGTAGGTGATAAACTAATAGGTATTAAAATTGTATATTTCAAGTTTCAACACTTTTATGTCATTATATTTTATAATAATACATAAAACATTGTTTTTTATGAATCATATATTTATTTAATTGTAACTGCATTATATAATATTATTAGAACGGTGATAATTTCCGAATACAGTAAAATAGTAGGTATTGTATAATGGGTGTACGAAGCGTCGAAGCATATTCGTTCATAAATATCCATTGTATGTTTTATTTTACCTTAGCATGTACTCTTTTTAGCTGAACGCTGTTTAGTATAAGTTTAAACTTAAGTCTATAATTATATCTATATTTTCCATGTACTTTATTTTATTATTATCTCTTCATGTTAATCTTCTAATTGTACAATTTATCTATAAATTGCCGTTTGGCGTTAAATAAATAAATAAATAAATAAATTATCCATTATATTTCAAGGTTAGGTTAGGTTAACCTAACCTACACACTTGAATACTTGATCTTTCAGCGTAGAACAATACGAATCTGAGTACAATAGTAACTAAAAAAAAATGTACCGATTGTACCGATGTAACGAGTATTTTGGAATCGGTACTTTATTGTAACTGTTCCGATTGGAACGATTCCACAAAAGGAACGATAATTCCCACCACTAGTATCTATATCCGTGACCTAAACTATCATTGAAGTATCTTTCAAATTGTAACCTTAATTCATTGTTAGCTTTTAAGAATGCCTCAGCAGAAGAAATTGTATGATTATGTTCATTGATAAATATTATTATTGCTGGAAAGCCATCCTAAACGTATTAATTTAATATATAATAATTAAAGAATTGAGATTTCTAATAAATGTATAAGTTATTATTTAAAGTAATTTTATGTAATAATAAATGTTACATTTATGTTGGTAAATAGTTTATTTTGTTGTCAGTGTCCGTCGTCTGAGTATAAGTATATAAAAATATACATAAATTATAGTTAATAAAATAAAATGATGTAAACACATAGGTTAGGTTTTGTTATACCATACACTTACTTTTATATATTTATCTTTTTTGCGTGTATCTTTTGTTGTTAATTTAATTTTTACATCAATTCGAGCTTGACATTCTGTATTTTTTGACTTGCCTCTCTTGTTGCTTTTACTATTTTCTTTTTTAAAACCACTATGATGATACATATAAACTCTTCTAAAATTAAAGTATTTACAAATCGTAAATGTAATCTTATGTTTCAAGAACAATTAGGTATAACAATTAATATAAGTACATATTATATACAACACAAACTGAGTAATAATTACTTAAAATGTTTCAAAAAATAAGTAAGTCTATAATTGACACAATTATTGCCTCAAACATCAAAATGATACCAATCAGATTTTAAACTTTAATGATTTTTTAGAAGATACAATGGATGGAATTCGTTAATATTTTGAGTTGCATTACTAGGTATAGTCTATAATTATTATACAAAAAGCTTTAATATTGCTGTGATGTTTTTAAACAGAAACAAAATAAAATAAAAAAAATAAAACTGATTATTTATATTGTAAGTATGGTAACTGTAAGATAGATATAGATATAGATACCTACTCAGTCGCTAATTGTGTATAACCTGACCCAGCTTTGTATAAATAGTCAAAAGCATAACTCACCGACAAACATATCTCGAACTATCGTTATTAGAAGACTTAGTATTTATACACCAATTTGTGTTTGTGGTAGAACTATGTTCAGTAATCCATTGAGTTATATCTTGTTCAGAGAACAAATTAAAACTTTTTATCTAAAGTATAAATTGTCAAAATGTTGTTAGTATTTTGTTAACTAAATAACACAAATACATCATGTTAATATGATATATTTATTATTATGTTAGAAATTTAAGTGTGTATTATGAACATTTGGTCAAAAAGTGCTATATAATATTCTTGGAAAAAAAGGTAAAGTAGTTTTAAGGGGGAATATCCGATTGAATTATTAACAAATTCCGTTGGATCGCGCTACTAGTATTCAGAATCACGTAATTCTCCTACTCTAGTCTCTAACTATCATCGAACTAAGACGATACTAGACGACGCGCGGCGGCGACTAAGCGGCGGCCCCCACTCATCACGTTGCTTGACATGATATTAATATCCATGCCGCGCGCAAACGCGCGCTGTTATAATAATTGCCTACAACCTATTATACATTATAAACAGACTGTATGGAAATAATTATAAATATTAATAATAATAACAATAGTAATAGTTGATAATTCCATATACATTTATATAGATATATTTATATTTTGATTTATAACAAACAATGATATTATAACCGCACATATTATTATAATATCGTTTCGTTATCGATAAAGAGTATCGTACAAAATATCGTTTTTATCTTATGATAATTGCTTCTATTACCATTTAGAATTTACATAGGCATAATCAATATTTTGTCATTCTCATTCTACAGTGAATGTGTGGTGTTTTAAACAGTTTGTGCGCAAATATTTTTATAGTTTTATATTCAATAAATCATGGCCAACAAAAAACACGGCAAACAATCGAAATGTTCAAAAAAAAGTGGAAAATCTAAGTGTATAAAAAACTTGGTCTCAAGTAGATACAAAAAAAAAAATAAAGTTATTGAACAAGATGATACCATTAACACTAAAGAAGATGTCCAAAATCCAACAACAAGGTAACGAAGCAGTTGAAGAATAAAAAGTGATAAACGGTCTTGTAAAAAACACTTATATTTTTTGATTCGAATACAGTGTCGGGTTAAGATGGGGAGGTCGACGGGGGCACTGCCCCCTGCGACACATTTTAGATTCTGAGCGGAGCGATGTTTTTTTATTTTTTTTATTTTTTTTATTTTTGTATTTGTGTACACGATAAGTAGTCGAAATAACCGTATAATAACAACATCAATACAATTTAAAATATCCTAGACTGGCATACCGTCTGCTCAGAATCGTTTTTCGTACCTATACAATGATATATCATTGAATTCAAATTTAATACCATCCATTCTACTGCAGTGACCTACTTGTAACCTACTGTACAGCAGAGCGACATCCACTTGACCCCCTTTTTAGGTCTGAAATTTAAATTTTTACGAAATCCCGAAAAATATAACGATTTACCCTCAAACGATTTCATATTTTATATAATTCGTGGAAACTTGAAACTTTTACCAGTTATTTACATTGACATTTTGTATACAATCTTTAATTTTTAAGTTATATTTGGTTTTTTTTTTAAATGTTGATAAAAAAAGTTTGACCGTTTAAAAATACTTGAAAAATTCAATACAAGATTTAGCATAAATTTATGTAAAAGTAAATTATAAACTATCGAAGTACATTTGTACAATTTCAAAACTTAGAAACCTTGTATTAAATTTTAAAGATTTTCTGGCCAACCAAAAATTTTTTATAGTTATTTAAAAAAAAATACTTAGAAAAATTGAAAATTTAAATTGTCTATAAATAGCTCAAAAAAAGTCAAAACACTTTGAAAATTTAACCCAGACAACGGTAATATAAACATTTGTTGAAAATTTCAAGTGCTTACAAAAATTATTTTTTGAGTTACAGTAAAATTAAATTTCCGTTTTTGTCAAAAATTGGTTTTGCGTAAAATTTCCCGTTTTTCCGTCACTTTTTTAAGGTTTTTCCCGACGCTTTTGAAAAGTATTGGAAATTTTTCACTTTTGACCCCCCAAAGTACCAACTAGATTCACTTTCCTTTCAGAAACGGTACTACTTTTGAAAATCGAAACATTATTACTGCTCCAAATGTTGTCGTCAGACACAAAAAAAAAAATAAAAAAAAAAAAAAAACACATCATTGTAAAATCAATACATTCATCACTCCGTTCAGAATCTAAAAGGTATTTGAATAATATTTGAATACTTTACAAGACTGGTGATATACCTAGTATTTCTTGTTTTCTCATAAATTGTTATCGACATTCAAAAAATACAAAACATAAATAATATGCACTTATTTTTTGTGTGAAGATCTTATTTTATTTATATACATAATGCATGTTTACAATATCAATATATATTATACACAGAAACATAAATTTGTTTTTTTATGATAGTGTCAATATAGATGAAAATGACTACTTAGGTCTGACACACCAACCGAGCATAGATGAATCTACATTGCCAAACTTGACTGTAGAGTTTGTAAAATCTAATGAACCTATATTATCAGGACGTCGAGTAGTAGATATAGAACATTTTATAAAACAAGTTATGGAGTTAGGAAAACACAGTTGACTATAAATAGCTTAAAAAAAGT